GGAGGAGGAAGAGGAGGAGGAGGGGGAGGAGGAGGGGGAGGAGGAGATCTCTCAGGTTTATCAAACGGTTTTGTATTTTTTTCCTAAAGTTTCAGTTTTAAATCAAACTTCCTGTTTTATTTATTTATTTTTTCAAAATAAAGTTTCAGTTTGTTTTAATAATAAAAACATAAAAACCACAGAAATCCAAATTTAAATATTTATATTTTTACAGATTTATCCCAGAGTTTAATGCTTCAACAGAAATAACATAAACTTGTATTAAGTTTTAATATTACAAAGTTTTACGTTTAAAGTGACACATGACGTCATTATACTTATTTTATTAAATGAACTGAATTTATTTTTGCGCGCATTTAATCAGAAAAACAAAACAAAACAAAAAACATAAATGTAAATGTGTTTTAAAGAAACTGATTTAATTTACCCCCCCCCCCCCAGGTTGGTTCTGGTGGACCTGCCTTTTATCTCCTGTCAGTGACCTTTGACCCTGCAGGGCTCAGCGGGTTCATACAGGACCCTGTCCAGGTTCTGGTCCAGGTTCTGGTCCAGGTTCTGTATCGCCCACGTGGTTTTCAAAGCTGGGCTTGAGGCTCCGCAGGACGGGATGCATCAAGTTCTGGGTCTTCTTTATAAATAAATAAACTTTAACTTTATGAAAATTAAAACGTTTGTTTTTTGTCATTGTGTCTTTTTTAATGTTTTACCGGAAGCTGGTGATTTTAAATTGATTCTGTTTTAGTTTCATTTATCTTCTTTGATCGTTTATTTCAGATCAAAATCAAAGATTGATTTCACCCCTGACTGATTAAAGGGACAGTTCAACCACTTCTCGGTTTGATAACGTCATGACGTCATGAGTTTGGAAACAAAACCTCACAAACGGACTGGTTCTGGTCCGGTTCGACCCAACTTCTGTGGCCAGGACCAGCAGGTTCAGACTGGATTTCATACAGACTGTCTGGAGGTTTGGGTCGACCCGGTTCTGAACCATGAATCCTTTCCACTTCAAGGCTTTTTGTTCGGATCTGCAGCTCAGACTTACCAGAACCAAAGGTCCATCAGAACCAAAGGTCCATCAGAACCAAAGGTCCATCAGAACCAAAGGTCCATCAGAACCTCGGCAGTTCTGTCCTCTTCCACCCCGCGGGCCTCTGCTGCTGCTCCGGGTCAAGAACCCAAAGAGTTCACTTCACAGTTGAGGCTTACTTTTCAGTCTGCGAGCCTTAAACCTGACAGTCGGGGGGGGGGGGGGGGGGGG